AGCGAAGGCGAGGGTGGCCGCTGGGTTATTTCGTTCAGTTTTTTTCTGTCCTTTCGCTCAGCTCGCAGGCCGAGTGTAGCGAGACTCTTTTTTTTATCGGCCGCACACGCTTTTTATAGCGCCTCGCACCCCCCCCCCCGAGCCTGGTGGCCTCTAACCGCGGCCCAGCGTCAGCAGGGCTTGTATGTGTCATATGAGACCTGGCGTGTCCAGTTTTAGGTGTTACAAACGCGCAGACAAGGCGTAAGAGCGTTCACACTCAATTCACACGCAGGAGTGGCTTCTGTCAGCTGAGGCAGAGGAGTCGGAGCTGTGACCCTGTGACTGCTTTGTGCACAGCTTGCAGTGTCTCTCCTCCTGTTCCCCCATAACTCTCTATCTCTTATTAAGTTTGTTCTTCCCTCTCTCTCCATCTTTCTCCACCCCACTATTCCCATCTCTTCCTGTTCTCTCTCTCCATCCGTCCCTCTGTTCCTCCCCTCTCTCCATCAGCCTTTCCTCTCTCTCTCCCTGTCTCCTCTCCTCGTCTCTCTCCCTGTGTCCTCTTCTCCATCACTCTCTCCTCCCCATCTCTCGTTCACTCTCTCGCGCGCTGGCGTTCTCCTTTTAAGGGCATGTCTCCCCACCGTGTCATTTCCCTTTCGCAAAGACCTCGGCTGATCTCCACCCCGTCCAAACTGCCAACCAGCGCGCATGGCTGAGAGGCGCACTACTCCACTGCTCTCGCTCAAACCACTTCCTCTTGCTCGTGGGCGACGCCACTGAGTCAGGAAGTTCACAACGTTCCATCTTCCCTCTTTTTTCACAAGAGGACCGTGTGCGCGCCCTGTCGGCTTCTGTTCCGTCGCTCCTCGCGGGCTGCAGCTCAGCCGAAGGGTTTGGGCATGGAGTCTGTTTCATTAACACCCGTTAACTCTCTGTTGGCCAGGGGTGCAGGCCCAGGGTCTCTATCGGGGTGCGAGACAGTGTGGGTACTCTCTGTTGGCCAGGGGTGCAGGCCCAGGGTCTCTAC